GAAGTAATTTTACTTCGAAATTGTTTGCGGAGGTGTTGTTCGAGCTGGGTATTAAACACAATTTGTCAACGGCGTATCACGCCCAGAGTCAAGGGGCACTCGAACGATTTCATTCCACGTTAAAATCACTATTGAGAGCCTACTGTTTGGAAATGCAGCGGGACTGGGAAGAGGGTCTTCCATGGTTGATGTTGGCAGCCAGGGAAGTTACCCAGCAGAGCATTGGGTTTAGCCCTAACGAGCTGGTTTTTGCACATAAAGTACGTGGATTATTAGCTGTTTTACGTGATCAATGGATTGAGTCAGAACCACCGATACATTTTTCGGAGTACGTGCTGGGTTTTCGTCGTCGGCTTTCCTTAGCTGGGGAGTTAGCTGGGAAAAGTCTAAATAGAACTCAAGGGAAGATGAAAAAGTTGTTTGACCGTTACACTGAACATCGGAAATTTAGTGTAGGAGATCAGGTCATCGCGCTTCTGCCTGTAATAAATTCCCCTTTCCAAGCCAAATATACTGGGCCGTATGAGATAATACATTGTGGGGCCGTGGATAATTACACGATTCTTACGCCAGACCGAAGGAAAAGATCCCAAGTCTGTCACGTAAATCTCCTTAAGCCTTATTATCAGCGAAACCGACCAGTCTCAGTGCCAGTGGCGCCTGTGGTGCTAGTGGACAGCTCCCCTCAGTCAGGTGCTCCACAGGACATGATGGGTATGTCTGTGGACGAATTAGAGTCTCCTGATGACAGCATGTTACTGGGTCGTTTAAAGAATTCTGAAACGTTGAAAAATATGTCTTCTAATCTTAAACATTTAGACAAGACGCAAAGTCGAGAATTGATTAGTTTGCTTGCTGAGTTCCCGGAGCTGTTTTCGGATGTTCCAACCCAAACGACACAGTTGGAGCATGATATAGAGGTGGGCGAGGCTGCTCCTGTCCGTCAGCGTTTTTACAGGGTTCCACTGAATAAACGAGAGGTTTTAGAAAAGGAAGTCCAGTATTTGCTGGATAACGGATTAGCCGAGCCTTCATTTTCCAGCTGGTCTTCGCCATGTTTGCTGGTAAAAAAATCTGATGGTACGTTCCGTTTTTGCACAGATTACAGGAAACTGAATTCTGTTACAAGACCAGACTCTTTTCCTCTGCCGAGAATGGAGGACTGTGTCGATCAGGTCGGTGCCGCGAAATTTGTGACAAAATTAGATTTACTTAAAGGCTATTGGCAGATTCCGCTGACAGAGCGTGCGCGCGAAGTTTCCTCGTTTATAACACCTAACGGATTATTTTCTTACCGGGTTATGAGCTTCGGTCTTCGAAACGCACCGGCGACGTTTCAAAGAATGATGAATAGAGTAATTGCGGGACTGAAAGGCGTGACTGTTTATTTGGATGATACGATCGTGGTAAGTGATACATGGTCAGAACATCTTAAGCGTTTACGGTTACTTTTAGTCCGTCTTTCTCAAGCACATCTTACACTGAATCTTGCTAAGTGCGAATTTGCAGGAGCGACAGTTACGTATCTTGGTAAGGTAGTGGGGCAAGGACAGGTGCGTCCAGTGAGGGAGAAGGTGAGAGCAATAGATGAATATCCTGTTCCGAACACTAAAAAGGAGTTAATGAGCTTTCTAGGTCTGGTGGGGTTCTACCGCTGTTTTTGTAGGAATTTTTCTACGGTTGTTGCTCCTTTAACGGACCTATTGAAAGGCAAAGCTTTGTTTGTTTGGTCTGAGTCTTGTCAGAATGCCTTTGAGGCAGTAAAATCGTTGTTGACTACGACACCTGTCCTAATGGCACCTCAGCTGGAGAAAACTTTTAAAATTCAGGTGGATGCCAGTAAAGAGGGAGCAGGGGCGGTGTTGATTCAAGAGGATGATGCGGGTATTGAGCGGCCGGTTTGTTTTTTCTCGCGGAAGTTCAATAGTCATCAAAGGAACTACTCCACAATTGAAAAGGAGGCCCTTGCGTTAATTTTAGCACTCCAACATTTTGAAGTGTATGTAGGTGGGAACAGTTCAGCGGTAATAGTTTATAGTGATCATAATCCGCTTACATTTTTACATTCTCTTAAAAATCCAAATCAACGGCTGATGCGTTGGTGCCTCTTTCTTCAGCCCTTTCATTTAGATGTTAGGCATTTGAAGGGCTCAGAAAATATAGTGGCCGATGCATTGTCTAGGGCACACTTGTAGAACATTTCTTAGGTGGTGCCTTGGATGAAGAGTTAACAGGTTTGTTTTTCTATTTATTACTTTATTCACGGGGGGTAAGGAATGTTGTTGTTGTGTATGTATAGGCCTATACTTAAATTATATTTGTTAGTGCGGTTATGAATGCTTATTGTTGGGGAAACATATTAGTTTCCTTTTTTTAAGGGGGGGAGTGTTACGGCTGTATACTTTGTATTGTGGTTTTGCCGTGTCTGGGTGTGTGTTGCTCCTCCTACAGGTGCGCTGCGGAGCTGAGGGAGTAATCAGGTGGATTGGGTGCACCGGTG